TGGTCCGGTGAAAGGAGTGTTTAGTGCTCAGTGATCCAGGGTAAAGGATGGAAGAAAGCAAGGATGAGTCTGGACAGCTGCAGCTAAACATCCAAGAAAATTAGACAAACTTAGGATTCGGTTCAATTCATAGGTGAAAGAAAAAACTTCAAACAATTAATTGGAATCAGCTCACAACTGTGTAGTATAGAGTCTGCTGAAACATGATTTCCTCCCTAATTTACTCTTATTTTTATTGAAGACCGATGCATTTATTGTATTGCCCAGTTGCGTTTGGCTGGGGTTGGATGAATACAGTAGGAACAGTAACCAGCTGTATAGGCTCCTGCAGAATCCACGGCCGAGCTCAGTGAGCCCCTCAGGGCAGAGAGCAGACTGCGGGTGTGTGTGTGTGTGTGTGTGTGTGTGTGTGTGTGTGTGTGTCCGAGGCACCCTACACGCCCGTCTGTAGGTCTTAAACAGCTCCTTTGAATGTTCTAATGCAGCTCAGTCCCTGAGCGGAAGTCAGGAGACGCACCTGGCAGTTACCTGCCCTGAGGCTGGCGGCCTCCTGCCCAGGAGTGAGCCCTGTTTCTCCTCTCCGGCCCCTCCTTCTGCCGGCGTTTCTGCTTGTTTGTTTGCGTTTTGCTGTGTCCTGGGCCTGAGAGGATTACAAGCTGGCTGCAAATGGCCACCCTGTTTGGCTTTAATTTCCTGTTAACATTTTTTCTTATAAATCTTCTCTAATTTTTACAAACCTTTTCTACAACCTTTAGGAATAGTTTCCAAAATGCATCTCTAAGCACCATGCCTTTTATTACCAAAATCACCTAATTTCCAATTAATAATTCTTACAAGCCTCAATCCTCAAAAACCAAGCAAAGCAAACAGCTGGCATTCCTTCGATGGGCCCTTCGGAGCACACCGAAGCCTGGGGCACAGGAAGTGTGCAAGGCAGGGTCCCTAGGCCTGGCCAGAGATCAGGGCCCATCTGTGGGGCGTCCAGCGGGTGGGGTGATGGAGGGGGCCCTCGATGGCACCTGCCTTGGCTGGAGGCCTAGCGCCCTTCGCTCACTGACCCCGAACCCTCTGCAGGGTGACTGGCAGGATGGGCAAACTGGGGGCCCCCGCGGGCACTTGCCTTGGCTGGCAGCCTGGCGCTGCCCACTCTCAGGCCGGACCAGGGGCAGCTCCTGCATTGAGCGTCTGCCCCCTGGTGGTCAGTCGTACCCCTGGTCAGTCAGCCATTCAGTCGATTTTGCATATTAGGGATTTATTACATAGGATTTTAAACATAGTTTGAAAGCACATTCTCAACAAAGCCAAAGACATTTTAACAGACTTTAAGCAACAAAGACGGTCCGGGCGGTCCGCAGGGAAAGCTGTGATGGGTTAACTTGATCTGCTCGTGGCTGCGTTTTCCCCAGAAACTATCTTTAAAGGCGGCCAGGCTGGTGTCTGACCAGGCGCTTGCATTTCAGAGGTCCCGGAACCACAGGGGACACCGCAGAGAACATGTTCCACATTCAAACCTGCATCCTCCTCCGTCCTGTCTGGTGATCGACTGCCCTTGAGGATGGACCCGCCCTGACCCACCTCCCCTCCCACTGTGAATGCTCCCAGCCCTTGGCGTGGGGTGAACACCAGGGCAGCCTAGGCGAGGGCATTCCCTCCCTGGCCCCCTGGCATTCTATTGAAGACCCCACCCCCTCGGGGCCCCACAAGGCCACCGCCAGGAGCTGGTCCGAGGAGGCATCGAGGGGATGGGGGAATCCGCTCATGGCTGGGCCCAACTTGGCAGGGGACACAGAGAGGCAGACCCGTCGGCCGGGCCAGGATCCCAAGAACTTAGTGTCCTCGGGCGGAGGAGGAAAGAGGCAGGGACGTCCAAGCAGATCTCGGCACCAGGAACCCTAACCGGGGACGAGGCTGGGTTGGGCTGGGTGTGTCCAAGTGTGCTGCTGCGGTCCCCCCAGGGTGCTGGTCCCTTCCCTCCTCTGCCCTCAGTCCTCCCTCGGCCATCTAAAACAGCCGCGAGGACCCCGGGCTCAGAGTGACCAGCTCCTACGTGCACCCCCTGGACGGGTCAGAGTTCAGTTACAGCTGTATTCTCAGTTCCTGAGGCCCCTGCACGTCTTAGGTCCAACCAGACACCTCCACACGGTCCTTACTCACGTAGGGACATTTGAGATTCTCAAACGGGGCGGGGGCGGCGGGGGGGTGGGGGGGTGCGGTACCTGCCTCTGACCTTCGGAGCCTGGGGCGGCGGGGGCGGCAGCGGGGACTGCCTCTTTGACCTAAGGAGCCTGGGCAAAGACCAGGCACTGGTCATTGGTCGGACTTGTCTCGCAGCTGGTGGGAAGCCTACTGCTTTCTAACTGGGCCCTCCGACAGCCCTTCACCTCCAGGGGAGCCTTTTTTCCCCAAATATATTTTATTGATTTTTTTACAGAGAGGAAGGGAGAGGGATAGTCAGAAACATTGATGAGAGAGAAACATCGACCAGCTGCCTCCTGCACACCGCCTACTGGGGATGTGCCTGCAACCAAGGTACATGCCCTTGACCGGAATCGAACCCGGGACCTTTCAGTCTGCAGGCAAACGCTCTATCCACTGAGCCAAACCGGTTCCGGCAAGGGGAGCCTTTTTATGTGGCAGCCTCCGGAATGGCTTTAGGTGGCGGGCCCAAGCCCGGTTTTAGATGGGCCGAAGGCCGAAGACGCCCACTGGAGACAGGCTCCCTTTATGTGGAGAGGCTGGGCCTGGACCAGGCCACACAGCTGAGCCCTGAGCCGGAGCCGCGCAGTTTTCCAGGGTCGGTGCTCAACGCCAAGTAAGCTCCACAGACCAGAGGACGTGAGCACAAGTGGGAGTTTGAACCAGCAGACCCAGACTCCCGTGTGGGCAAGGCCAGGGAGGGGCTGCCGTGAGCCTGGTGGCCCAGGTGTACATTTGCTACAAGCCTGCTCCTGCATCTCTCCGCGCTGTCCCTCGGCGGCTCCCACCAGCACGGACTGAACTCCCGTTTGTTCTCCCTGTTCCTGTGCGGCTACACCTTGTGCTGCAGCCTCCCGCTCCGGTCCAGAGGCGCCTCTCACTCTGCCCGGTGGCTCTGTGGTCAGGCTGCTGCACACCCTCCTGTGCCCCGTGTCCCCACCGGCCTGCCGGCCCGCCTGCCCACATGGCCAGTTAATCCTTCCACATGGACCAGATAACAGGGTGGTTAAGGCCTGGGGTGGGAACTGGGTGGAGGGGGCAATGAGGAAGGGGCAATGAGGAAGGGGCAATGGGGACATTTGTAAGTCTCAACAATAAAGATTAAAAAATTAGTGATGATGTTACTAAAGGGAGCTTTTAAGGAAGTTTATTAAAAATTAAACTTTGAAAATACACATACATTTTGCATTAGCTTAAAAGTTAGCAATTTATTTTAGTAGAAAGCCATCCAAAAGAGAACCCAAAGATCAATGGCACTATTTACTTTAAAGAAGCACAAAAGACATAAAAGTACCCAGTACAAATTTATTGTGCATTAGGAAGCTTAACTTAAAACCAACAGCATAATAAAAAGAGATGTCATTTTTGTTCATAGTAGAACAGATTTCAAAATATATTTTCTTTTAAATGTATTCAAGCAGTACATAATCCTTTATAAAAGTTACATATATATTTTTGTCAATACCTTCATTACATTTATAAATACTAGATTTGCACAGCACTCCATCAAAAAATTTAAAACCCCTCAAAAAAGATGTACATAGATCTCAAATCTATAAACCCTCCACAGGGCTCTGTTCAAGGTGGGCCTAGCGAAGGGTTCATGGTGCAAAATGCATGTAAATCTGTAGTTTTCTTTGTCTGTAAAACATCTTGAAAAATTAGCAAGACACTTACTGTGAAACAGTTTCCTAAACCATCATATTGTAGGAAGAATTCGATGTGCATATTCCCATGGGATTCAATGTCAGACACACAGGGGAGAGAGACCTGCTGAGAACAGCCACTTACAGAGCAGTGACGGCAGAGGTGATGACTGAGACAAGGACGGGCGTGGGAGGAACAGTCCTGCGGCCGAGTCTGTGCCGGGTTCCTCCCGGCACGGGGTCCCTCCCGGCACGGGGTCCCTCCCGGCACGGCGTCCCTCCCGGCACAGGGTCCCTCCCGGCACGGGGTCCCTCCCGGCACAGGGTCCCTCCCGGCACGGGGTCCCTCCCGGCACGGGGTCCCTCCCGGCACGGGGTCCCTCCCGGCACGGCGTCCCTCCCGGCACGGGGTCCCTCCCGGCACGGGGTCCCTCCCGGCACGGGCTCCCCACTCCCCAGGAATGCTGCGGCTGAACACCTGCAGAAGCACCTCCCGCCCAGTGCCGCACCAGACGCGTGGTGTGTGTTTCTTCTGTAAAATCACCTTGAATCCACCAAGACACTAGGTCAAGGAATCTGAATTGCTATTTCTTCAATATTTAAACTTGTAGAAAAATTCTCTTCACTGGTGAAGGACACCACGGTCAGTATCATGAACACCCAGTGTGTGTGCTGGGTCTCATTCCAGCCACGAACGTGAAGCGGAGGCAAGAGCAGGGCAGTGAGCCCGGCTGTGACCTGAGAACGAAGGCAGCAGGTCCCCGTGCTGAGTGGCTCCGGGGCCGCCTGCTCCTCACACCTGTGGGCCACTGGCACTTTCCATAGAAGCAGGACGAGGGAGGCAGAGGGTTCTGCTCCGTGAATCTGGCCAGTCCTGCAGCTTCCACGGAGCAGGACCTGGGGCTGCTGCCCTCGGCCCTGGAGGTGAGAGAGGAAAGACACCAAAGCCGGAACTCCAGATAACTCTGAGAGCTGCGCACTATTTGCAGCAACGTATTTCAAATCCTAACTTGTTCCAATGCACAACCTGAAAGGAAAGGAATGGAGGAGGAGGAAGAGGAGGAGGAAGTGGGGGGCAGAGGGTTACTTATCACACGTGGCCCTAAAGGGGCCACTCATCTCCCCTCCAGCACCGAGTCTCCCGGGGGTCCGCTGCGCTCACAGCTCGGTGCACTGGCTCGCCGGCTCCCCGAAGGGGGCCAGGCCCCAGGCGCTGCCGCTCGGCAGCAGGGGCTCCATGTCCTCGTCGCTGTCGCGCCCCGGCGTGTCGGTCACGGTGCCGCTGAGGCTGTTGCTATGCTTCTCAGCCCCGTGACTGCATTCCGGGATGAACAAGGCCACCAGGAAAGAGAAAAGAACTATGCACGCCCCAAATAAAAACGGCGGGCCTGGGATGAGGGCTCCCTGTGGGTGTGGAAACAAGCAGAGATGAAGAGTTTGGTTAGTCTCCTCAATGCAGAACGAGCTCTGGGTGACCCAGACCCCACACCACCCCCGGAGAATCACTCCCTGCACAAAGGGTCCTGCGTGCCAGGCAAGCGCCCCGGGCCGAGCCCAGCCTGTGAGGACAGTGCTTTATCTCTAATCTTACCCTCTGGGCCCAGGCCATGCATTCTGCCCTTGAACATTCCAATTCCAAAATCTCTATTAAAGATTGCTTAGAAGGAGAGAGGGAAAATACTAAATAAAGAATAGGAAACAGACTCTAGTTCAATTTCTGGCTGGAATTGTAGGTAATTTTATACTTTATCTGGCTTGGGTTTCCCCAGAAGACAGGGTTACACTGAACAGAGCTACTGTGTAGGTGAGAACAGAATCTGAACAAATTAAAATAAACCTTTTACATGAGACACTGAGTCACCGAAACCGGGAGCACTGAGTGCGGCCTCCCTACTGGTAGGTCCAACAGTCTGTTTCTTGTACAAACGAGGACGCGCCACCTCTGCGGTCAGAGCGCTCCTGCAGTCAGACATCTTCCCGGTGACAACACTAGACTATCACCAATCACCTGCAAAGCAGCACTGGGAGAACTCGGTTTCGGTTCCACGTCCGTCAGCTCCACGTGGAACATGTAGAATATGAAGCCGTACAGCGCCGGCCCCAGGCCGTTACACAGCCCTCGGATTCCAGTTATGATCCCCTGGGCAACTCCTGAGTGAGAACAAAGAAGGCAGTCTTCTCAGAAAGGCACGTGGGGAAAAAGAGGAATAACTGTAATGCTCTGAACAATAAAGATTTATTAAAAGGAAAAAAACGAGCCAAAGAGGACTCAGTCCATGACAGGGAGGCGGCCTGCCGGCACCGAGCAGCGCGGCTCGCAGGGCCTTCGCCTCCGCGCTGTGCGGCAGGGGTGTCCACGGCAGGGACGCAGTCTGCGGTCACTATTTTGGTTTTTTATTATTTTTTAAAAATATTTTTATTTACCTCTTCCTAAATGCAGCTCATGCCTCAGAGGGAGTCCAAACTAAACAAGTTCCAGTGACAGTGAGGAGACAAAAAGCTCGCTGTTTTGCTAACTAGTCTGTCATCATTAACAGACATCTGCTACAGTCCAGTTACTTCCTGTGGCGCCACAATGAAGAGCAGTCACCACGAAAAAGAGGAAACAGTCCCATTTCTATTTCTGAGCGTTCTGAGCTGCTGAGTGCACGTTAACAACATGAGGATGATTCAGAGCAGGACGGACAGCAGACAGACGTGCCACTGCGGAGGGAGCACGCGGGGAGGAGGCTGAGCTGCGCGGCTGCCGGGAGGGAACCGAGCGGACGGTGCTCTCACCTTGCTGGTCGGACTCCGCGTTCTGAGAGACCAGGGCACTGACCGCCGGGAAGGTGATGCTGGACGCGGCGGCCACGGCTGCTGCGGCCCACACCATCCTGCAGGGACAGGGCAGGTCAGGGCGGGCCGGGCTGGGCGCTGGCGAGCCATGGGGCGGAGCACGCGGTGCTGTCTGTCCCCCCAGGTCGCCTCGTATTTAATCTTTCCTCTTTACAAAGGGTTTTTTTTTTTTTTTTTTTTTTTAACCTGGAAAGTTATTCGTCACTTCATAGGCTGGGAGTTTCCTTTACTTTATTTCACCTCTTTCAAAACCTGTTCTGCTTGATTTCCCTCTAGCACCGTTAGATGCAAGCCCAATGCAGCTGGAATGGCTTTGTTTTTGTTTCCACAAATGCCACCTGTCCCCCGGACCCCGCCTGTTCTGGGTGAGAGGCCGAAGCTGCTCCTCTGGCTGCCCTCCGGCAGAGAAGCCGGCGTGCAGGACGACACCTGCGGGCCCCAACCGCGCCCTCTGGACCGAGCCTGTCGCACGCCGCCTGGCCCAGCCAGCTCAGCCAGGCCCGCCCCGCGGCCCTTCCTTAAACTGGTCCTTCCTCACTGAGGGAACCTGAGTGGGAATCAGCAGCAGGCTTCTGTGAGGGAGGCAGGCGCACCTGGGTGAACCCTCTTGGCCACACCAGAGGACATGCACACCCTAAGGAAAGAGCCTCGGACGCAGCTCCGCAGCCCGAGTCCATGGCACTGAATCCCACGAACAAGAACCACCTGCTGACCTCTACGCACCTCTCGTGTCTCTGTTATGTCATGCATGCAAAATGAGTAACTAATATTTAGAGACAGGACCCCTGGATTTGATAGCCAGCATTGGGGACACTAGCCACATCACAGAACAGCACTCGGGACTGTCATTTCTCCTGGCTCAGGGCTTATTCTGGCCTTCCTGCTAGGGGACTAGACTATGCCAGCAGAGTCCCTGCCCCAGGATACACATGGTTTTGGAAGAGATCTTAGGATTCATCTATTTCAAGTTCTTATGTTTAAAGTCACGCAGCTAATTACAGCGATGAGCCTGCTATCAATTTTCCTTGCCTTTTTGTTTTGGAGCATATTTGATGTCCCTAAGAACTGAAAAAATATGTTTAAAATACAGACATAACATTTCTGAGGGGCTGGAGAAAGCACACACATTTAATTAACAACTCACCGACAGCCACGAAGGTGAAGACAGTTTTTACAAATGATCCTGCCACCTCACTCAGCTTTCCCAAAGCTAAGTCCAAACTGGTCAGTGGCCTCTGCTGCCTTCACCCCACCCGTCATTCCTGCTCCCCCAGAAGCGGGTCTTCCTGGTCGGTGAGGCCCGGAAGGCTTACCAGGCCTGCGATCCGAGCCCGTACCAGGCCAGCTGGAGCCCCTGCAGGCCCAGGCCCAGGAGCACCGTCTTCTTCTTCCCCAGCGACCGCATGGCGACAGGGAGCAGGGCTGTCTGCAAAGCCAAGGAGAGCTGAGGAGACGGACACCGCAGGGCTCGGGGAGGGGCCCAGGCAGGGACCACACGGAGCTGGGAGCTGACGCAGGGCCCTCGGCTCCTCCCCACGCTGGCACCTCCCCAGGGAGGTGAGAGCCATTCACCGGCTGTCGTGCCGAGGGACACGGCCTCAGTCTTTTCTGAGAAACGCCAGTCCCTTGCCCACCAGAGACGAGCAAGCCCTGCTGAACAGTACAGAATGTGGGGAATTTTGCTGGAGGTTAGCAGCTTTGCAAAGTTGGACTGATTATGGATTTGATTTTAGCACAGACGTACTCTGTTAAAAAACAATTTCAAATGGTCTGGGCCAAGGACCAGAGCTAACATACCCTCCACCCCCCACCCGCCTGCCAAATGATGAGCAACTGGAAGTGTAAGGTAATGTACATTTGCTGGTATAACTGGACGGAAACAAACACAGGCCTTTGTCTGATGCGTTCCCGGAGCCTTGTCAATGAGAACACGGAGGCGACACAGCCCTGCAGCCTCCTTCCCGGGCCCAGCGCGCCGCCCCGTGCCCGCAGCAGCCCGGAGCCCAAGGACACGGGCGGCTGCAGGGGAGCAGGCACAGCGCAGCCTGCGTGGCCTGGATGTGACAGAGCAGGAATCCAGCCTCTTCACTCATCACGCTGCCCCATTTCTTGGAGCAGAGGTCAGAACAGATGCCGATTTCCATTCCTGCTTTTCACTTCCACTCACTTCTCAGCATTAAAGTGACGCGGAAGCATTCTCCTGGCATTATGTCTCTGGCTAGCTGGAGTCCGTGTCAGTCCCTGGGCCTGCTACTGCACCGTGGACACGTCTCTGCCACGGCAGGGGAACGGAGGCAGGCGGGCGGGAGACATTCGAGAACGCTTCCTACAGCTTCCGAATAAAAATGTTTTAAAAAGAAATGAGAAAAATGACACTCACCTGAGCCACAATAGACAGAATTCCTAGCACAGCTATGAACTCTGCAATTTTAACAGATCCAAAACCTATGATCTGTGAAACAGAAGGGGAGGGGTAGAAACACTATTGTTAATATAGATATCATAAAAATAAGAAATGTTATATTTTAGTAAGGCTATAGGACAAAATAGTTGGGAAAAGTTAATAAAACCTTGATTATGGCAAATTAAGGCAGTGCTGAAAGTTGAACCTATTTAATCAGAAAATTTACATCTAAATATGATTTTAAAAAACCATTACAAGTAAGCATAACTTAACAAACATTTTAAAGATATTTTTTATTACAGACCTATCGTTTCATATTCCTTCCCATCCCCAACCGACCGAAAAACAAAGATGTTATCAAGCATTAGAGAAATATAAAGAACACAGCCTGACTTCTGATGCAGAATTGGAATTTACTCATTAGCACGTCCAGTGTCTAACAGCGTTGGCTGCACATTAAAATCACGTGGGCCTGAGGGGAAGGAGGGGGCGGGAACAGTGAGACTCTGCAACCATGGAGACCAACTGGGCAGTCTCAAGCCTCCACACAGGCATGTTCCACAAGCTTCACCTCAACAGCTCTGATATGCCAAAAACTATTCGTTTTAAATACCAAGTTTTTAAAAAATATATCTTTATTGATTTCCTGGAGAACGGAAGAAGGCAAGAGATAGAAACACCAATAAGAGACAGTCATTGCTCTGCTGCCTCCTCCATGATCTCTACTGGGCATGTGCCCTTGACCAGAGTTGAACCTGGACCCTTCAGTCTACAGGCCGACGCTCTATCCACTGAGCCAAACTGGCTAGGGCTCTTAAACACATTTTACAGATCAGGAACAAGTCAAGGATGTCCACTCTTGCCATTTTATTTGATACTAGAGGCTCGGTGCACAAAATTTGTTCACTGGGTGCGGGGTCCCCTCAGCCCGGCCTCTGCCCTTTCACAGTCCGGGAGCCCTCGGGGACGTTCGACTGATGGCTTCGGCCCCTCAGTCAGACTTCCTGAGCACTGCCACAGAGGCAGGAGAGGCTGCCGCCACCGCTGCTGTGCTTGCAGCCATGAGCCGGCTTCCGGCTGCGCAGCGCTCCCTCTGTGGGAGCCCACTGACCACCCGAGGGTGTCTCCTGCATTGAGCATCTGCCCCCCTGGTGGTCAGTGTGCATAACAGCAACTGGTTGTTCCATCGTTCGGTCAATTTGCATATTAGCTTTTTATTATATAGGACTAGAGGCCTGGTGCACAAAATTCGTGCTCAGGTAGGGTCCCTAGGCCTGGCTGGCGAATAGGACTGGCCAGGGCCTTCCTTTACTGGCTGCTGGCTGCCAGCTGGGGCCTTTCTTCCCCTGGCTGCTGGCTGAGGCCTTCCTTTGGTCATATTGTCCCCTGGTGGTCAGCACACATTAGAGCAAGGGGTTGAACTCCTGGTCAGTCAAACTCCCAAGGGGACAATTTGCATATTAGCCTTTTATTATATAGGATAGTATTGGTAGTTCTAGCAGCAGCAAAGAGGCAAGAAAAAGAAATAAAATGTATCCACATTGGAAGTGAAGAAGTGAAACTGCCTGGCTGGCGTGACTCAGTGGCGTGACTTTGAGCGTTGACCTATGAACCAGAAGGTCATTTGATTCCCGGACAGGTCACAGGCATGATCCCCAGTTTGTGGTGTGCAGGAGGCAGCCGATCAATGATTCTCTCTTCACTGATGTTTTCATCTCTCCCCCCCTCTTTTCATCTCTGAAATCAATAAAAATATATTAAAAAACAAAAAAAAAGAATAAAATACCTAGGAACAGTCTTAACAAAGGAAGTGAAGATTGTATTCTGTACTCTGAAAATTACAAGACGTTGAAGGAAGCAGAAAACAGCTATTCTGTGTTCATGGATTGGAAGAATTAACATTGTTAAAATGGCCCTGATTAGTCAAAGCACTCTTAAAAAAAAAAAAAAAAAAAAAAAAATATATATATATATATATATATATATATATGTATATATATATAATTGAGGGACAGAAAGCTAGAAACATTGATGAGAGAGAAACATCGACCAGCTGCCTCCTGCACACCCACCACTGGGGATGTGCCCGCAACCAATGCACATGCCCATGACCGGAATAGAATCCGGGACCCTTCAGTCCGCAGGCTGACGCTCTCTCCACTGAGCCAAACCGTATACAGCAGTCAAAGCACTCTTGAGGAAGAACACCGCTGCAGGCATCACACCACCTAATTTCAAATTATCTTACAAAATTATAGTAATTAAAGCAATCTGATACTGGCATAGAAACAGACATGGATTAAAGAAACCAATTAGAAATACACTCATGCATATACAGTCAATAAATTTATGATAAAGGAGCCCAGAATATACAATGGGGAGAAGACAGTGTCTTCAGTAAATAGTGTTGGAAAAACTGGACAGCCATGCAAAACAATGAAACTAGACCACCAACTGACACCAAACAAAGTAAAGTAACGGAAGTGGATTAAGGACATGAATGTAGAGCCAGAACCATAAAACTCCTAGGAGAAAACATAGGTGGTGAGCTCCTTGACTTAGATCTTGGAGATGATTTTGTGAATCTAACACCAAAAGCAAAAGCAAAAGCAGAAACAAGGAAGTGGGACTCTATCAAACTAAAAAGGATATCATCAAAATGAAAAAGCAATGTACTGAATGGGAAGAAATCACTGGGTGTCATACATTGGATAAGGGACCAATATCCAAAATATCGGGTCTAGTAATAATTAATGTCGTTTTTAAATATTTAAAATCTTGCTTGGCGTTGACTTGTATTGACATAACCTTCAAACACGTGGTATCTACAGAACGTGTGAAGTGCAATTAACAAGTTTTGCTTGAAAAAGTTTGTGTTTGGTTTGGTTTTTGTTGCAAAACTAGGGCTAAGAAGATGGCGGATGAAGAGCATATTTGGCACTGCATGCTTTACGAGTTCCAATTAGGAAGAAAAGCAAGTGAGGCTGCAAAAAACATCTGTAGTGCTCTTGGTCAAGATGCAGTTAGCGCCAGAAAATGCCAGCGTTGGTTTGAGAAATTTCGCGAGGGAAATTTTTCGTTAGATGACAAGAGTGGTCGAGGCTGTGTGTCCAATTTTTATCAAGAACCTCTTCAAGCTCTTTTGGTGCAAAAGCCTTAAATTACCCAACAAGAGCTTGCGACAACTTTAAATTGTTCACAAAAAACAATTTCCAATCAATTGCGTGCACTTGGCAAAGTCCAAAAGTTTGGAAAATGGGTTCCTCAGGAGTTGACCGACAACCGTAATCAAAGAGTCACAATTTGCAGTTCGCTCCTCTCTCGTCAAAACCGTTTGCCGTTTTTAGAGCAAATTGTTACCGGAGATGAAAAATGGGTGCTGTATGTTAATCTGAAAAGGCGGCCTCAATGGTTGGACAAAAATGAGGCTCCGCAGCCCACGCCAAAACCTGACTTGCATGCGAAAAAAGTGATGTTGTGTGTTTGGTGGAATTTTAAAGGAATTCTTCATTATGAACTTTTACCATCTAACCAAACCATTACAAGTGCAGTGTATAGTGCCCAATTGGAAAGGTTAGTCCAAGCTTTAAGAGAAAAAGAACCCGCGCTGATTAATCGGAAGGGCGTAATTCTTCACCACGATAACGCACGACCGCATACTGCAAGAATCACTGCTGAAAAACTGCGCCAGTTGGAATGGGAAGTCTCCCTCAACCTGCATATTCTCCTGATATTGCCCCTTCCGATTACCATTTGTTTCGTTCTTTGCAAAACTTTCTTCTTGGAAAAAAATTTAATAATGAAGAATGCCTCAAAAATGCATTGACCGAATTTTTTGCATCAAAATCACAAGAATTTTACAACAGAGGGATTAAAATGCTTCCTGAGCGTTGGGCACAAGTAGTAGAAAACAACGGCAACTATACTGTTGATTAAATTTTGTTGTATTGTTTAAATAAATTCGATTTAAAAAAGGTATTAGAAAACGACATTAATTATTACTAGACCTAATATATCAGGAATTCATGTAACTCAGTAGCAACAAGCAAACAAACAATCCAATTTAAAATATGGGCATAAAACTGAACAGGCATTTTTCCAAAGAAGACATACAGATGGCCAATAGGTACATGAAAAGATGCTGAAACCACTAATCATCGGAGAAGTGCAGTATCACCTCACACTAGTTCAATGGCTATTTCCACAATTACAAGTGCTGGTGAGGATGTGGAGGAAGGGAACGGATATCCCGTTGGCAGGACTGTAAATGGTGCAGCCACTAAGCAGCCAGGCGGTCTGCACACGGCGGCAGGTGTTAGGACAGACATGAGCGGAGCGAGGCGACGGCTGCACGGGTCAGCGGGGAAAGCCCAGGAGCCAAACTATAGACAATGGTAGGGAGGAACCTTGACCCAGGGTGACCTTTCCGCCCCTAGCATTTTGCTAGTTACCCAGTTTGACCCTCTGATCTTAGAGGGAACACGGAGGCCTCAGTTATATTTCAGCACTGGGCCCAGGAAGGCGGCAAAACCAGACCAGTGACACCCAGGACCAGCTGCAATGGCTAATGGGTGGTCTCTGCCCTGGACCGACCGACCCTGCAAGGACACCCGGGAAGCTGCTGGACCTGCCCTGCTACTCCCCTGGCCCTCCCCACAGCCGCCACCCTCTCCCTCCGCCCCCTCTCCTTCCCTCTCCCCCTGCCCCCTGCATCCACCTCATCATCAGCCTCCGTTGCCCAGGTTCTTCATCAGCGCCCAGTTGGCAGACAGAAACCCTCTCCTGCAGGGCTTTGGGGTGGAGTCAGACATGGTGGGCAGGCCGGTGAGCTGTTTTTTAAAAAGCAGAAGCTGCCCTGGCCTGGTCTGGCTCAGTGGTAGAGCCTCGGTCTGCGGACTGAAAGGTCCCAGGTTCGATTCAGGTCAAGGGCATGTGCATTGGCTGCGGGCACATCACTGATGGGAGGTGTGCAAGAGGCAGCTGGTTGATGTTTCTCTCTCATCGATGTTTCTAGCTCTCTATCCCTCTCCCTTCCTCTCTGTGAAAAA